TGTCAGTGTTCAAGGGGGGGGTAAATGGCTAAGTAATCACTAAAATGACATCTATGCATGCTTAACAATCTGCTAAGTCTGAAAAATAAAGATTAAATTTAAACACAAAACTTAAAGGAGCAATGCTACACACTGGCAGAAGTGTTTAAAGTTGCCATACTGACCTCTTGCCTTAATTAATTCCAGGTTTTCCTTCTCAGCATATTCAACATAGGGTGTGCCTATAGAAACAGCAATGGATGCTGATAAATGTTCCATGTCTCCTCTGCTGCCCACTGGATTCAGAAGAAAGCTACCACTCACTCCTAGGATATCAACACTAACTCAAACATGATGACATGTGACACTGCAGGCATCACAAACCTGGCTTCCAGTGGGAGGAGATCATGAAGGTGTAGCAGGCACTGTTAAATTTCTGTGGTTTAACAATAGGAAGAAGTTGACTGTACTCCAACTCTGCAGTCGGTAAACTGTTTATACAAAAGTTCAAGAGTGGTATTTGAATTATCAAGAGTATTTTACCTCCATTTTATAAAACTAGTATTTTGATTAAATGTGCTTCACTGTAATGAATTTCACAGAGAAAGAAAATAAAAATGTCAACTGAACAATTCATCATGAGTTTAGCAACCTACCCTCTCATAAAAATCTTCCAAAGTCTTTTTATATGGTAAATTAGGTAAACTTGCTGCTTCCTGGCTTAATTGTCATTCATATGAAAAAGATTCTCACCATAACAATACTGCCTTTTTCTTGCCACTTAATGTCACCGACATTATTATTATCTTTTGGATTTTTCAGGAAGATGAAATAAAAGTTTCTTTAGCAGGGGGAATTTTCATTTTCCATATTAATATTACATCATAATCAAATAGTTTCATAAAGTTTTGATCCTAAGGTTGGAAGAACAAAAACACCCTTTAAAAATGCCTCTCCAGAGACACAGCCCAGGAAAAGCTGTCTTCCTATTATGGTACAAGTACTCTGTGTTTCCATTCTCTCTACAATGTGTCAATCAAGACTAATGACTTCAATCTTACGGAATTAATAAAGTAGAATTGAGCTGTATGATATTGGTAAACTCAAATTTACATCATTTCCAAGTTCCTTAGCTTAGTCACTCTGGCCTGCTATCACAAAGTGCAATATTTATTTTTCACAGTTCTGGAGGATGGAAGTCTCAGATCAGCATGCCAGTATGACCATGTTCTGATAAGGGCACTCTTTCAGGTTGACGTACTATCATCTTCTTGTGTCCTCACATGGTAGACAGCAAGCCTTTTCCAGGATGCCCATAAGCACACTAAATCACATTCAAGAGTGTTCCACCTCACCACCTAATCACTTTGTACAGGATCTACTTCCAAATACCACATTGGGATTAAGGGTTCAGCATATAACATTGAGGGAGACATAAACACCTAGTCCACTGCAAGGCCCTTTGAAGAAATCATAAGGTCACCTACAAGTAGCTTTCTAACATTAGGAAACACTCCCCAAGCTCTAAGCTACAGTGGGTTCAACTGCAAAATGTAATGATTAACATTTCAGAAGACCTGAATTCCAGTGCCCTACAGAAGAGTAAGAGTGCCACAACAGAAAAACACTTGTCCTGGAATTAAGATACTGCAGAGAACACAGAGCTTACAAAGAAGCAAAGGGTGGTTGGGTGTAGTGATGAACGCCTGTAATCCCAGCACTTGGAAGGCTGAGGCAGAAGGATCGCTGTGAGTTCAAGGCTAACCTGGGTTACATAGTGAGTTCAAGTCCCATCTAGACTACAGAGTGAGACCCTGTTTCAAAATCCCCTGGGGTGGGGGGAATAGAGGTATGTTTAGTCCCTGTAGACTCTGAACCCTAGGCATTACCAAGGTACTACAAGAGGCCTAGCATGGTCCACAGCTGAATAAATACCATGTTTAGCAGAGAACATTTTCTAAATACATATAAGTGCTAATTAATAGAGATCAGATAAATGTCAAAGCAGTTTCTTGTCATTGAGGATTTTCTCACTCAGAAATTCTGAAAGTTTTTTCATGTTTAACAAAGGTTCTATTTATTCAGAAGACTTGAGAATCATTGGCCCAGAACTCCAGGTAACCTCTAAAGGTCCCTTATGGGGACTAGGGCACAACCTATGACTATTCTTTCTGATATACAGTAGTTCAGTAACCATCAATCTAAGTGAAGAAAAAAAGGTACACTCATGCAATTTCAGATGCTATCATGTTTTTTTGGCCGGCTCAGCCCACCCTGAGGGTGGGGCTGGCATAGCATGTGGTACTGAGGATTAAACCACAGTACCGGGTGGCTGCCTACACTTGCTTAAGCAGGCACTTTAGACGACTGAAAAATCATGAAACAGAAATAAAAAATGGCATTCACATTTTTTTTTCCTCTATGGGAATTAAACTCAGGACCCTGCACTTGCTAGGCAAGCACTTATCCTACTGAGCTATCTCCCTGGGCCCAGCATTCACATTTTAGTCAATCATTAATAAACATTTTATTGTATCCCAGGCAATCCAAACATCTCTTTGTGGCTTGAAAATCCAATGTTAGGGACAGTACAGTGTACATAGTCATTGTTATTTAGACATAAAGCCCATCTTTACATGCATTATGATGATAGTAATACTAAATGCCTTTTTAAAACAATTTAATACCTTCTGCAATTTTTATGGTACATCTAATTACACGCTTATTCTCATGAAAGAAAATTGTCTACATTCTAACATAGCTACATACAAAATGAATAATTGATAAGTGAGGGCAAAGATACTTAAAAACCTACAAGTATCATATGTATGATAAAAATAAATAACAGACCACCAGTGCCCAGAAACCCAGCAGCTATTCAACAAAAAAAAAAAAATATCAGTGAAGTTGGATAAATGCCTCTGTGGTTTTGTTGTTGTTTTAATTTCTTCTGGCAAGTAACTCTGAAAGGTACTCTCTCCAATGTGGACAAAAGGCAATGTCTCATAAAAAATCCAGTTACTAGAAAAGTTACAGAGCAAGGAAAAGGGGAAAGAATTCCAAATGTGGTACAAAGTCCTTGACTTCTAGGTCTCTGCTACAATTCTGCCTAGGGCTTTCTGTGATGGACGAAGGCACAAGTCCCTCAAGGAGAGCTAGCTTCTCAGGGACCACAGAGAATCCTTCTACAATGGTCCATCCACTGGGATCTTTTGCAGCCAGCATGCTTATGACATACACCTCCAAGAATTCATTCATATCAGAGCTCAGCACAAGGACCAATATTTCACTGTCCTGATTTGATGAGTCATACATTTCAATGTAAATCTTTAACATACTGACCCTTTTGTTTTCACTATTTTTATAAGGGACGGTGAACTATATTGTGAAAATTATTTTTGCATAAAACTCAAAACTACTAATCATTCCTTTCCTGCCATCAAAAAATGGAACAATCAAAATCAGGATGACCAAGTTTCTGAAACGTATTAGAACATTTTTCACATAAGTCACTACCATTAGCTATAAAGCTGGGGCTGAGAAGACAGCTGCACATTTTCCCAGTTCTGATCCTGCTCTTCCTTCTCCTACCAGAGTGAAGTTAAACTGACTATCCAACTATTAAATGCCTTTAAGTACCACACTATCTTTTGTTCCATGAACATACTAAGTGCTCTGAAACTATCCCTACTCTCACTCCTCAATTCTTTCTCTACTTCTAGGTACTTCTTCTTCTCTCAACTATGGAGAACTTGCCCATAAACAGTTTAAAAACAAATTTATGGGGCTTATTTAATATGATTAAGGCTCAAGAACATTAGTAAAAAATGCATAAATTAGACTAAATGTAGACTTGAAATTCTTCATGAGAAAAAGCCAGAGGAAAAACCTATCATGGAAGCCAACAAAGAAAGGTCTTGCATCATGCCTTGAAGTTGGTTTCCTGAAGGCACAATCTTTCTCATTTGAATGGCCCTCATCTACTTTACCTCCAACAGAGCCAGTCTGTTCATTCTCAGACATAAACACTGGCTCCAACATTGTGAAAAATTACCAACTAACATACACAATCTAATTTGTCCCTTTCATAGCATTAGTTGCATATTCTTTAGCAAATAAAAAGAAAAGATTTAAATCACCCAGATAATCTCTGAAGGCATTCTCCTCTGGGCTCAGGCACAAATCCTAAAAACTATTCTTTCCTAATTTCAAAGTGAAAATCCAGAGAGGTTTTCCTTTCCATTCTTCTGGTTTTTGGCCTGACCACAGACTATGATGGGACTGCAGAGGCCCCTGCAAATACCTTAATAGAAGCTACTGCCTTACCCATCTCCTGATGGATGCTCAAAGTTTGATTGCTGCTTCTCAGACATGAGCTTAAACCAGAAATCTCATAAGGCAAGAGACTGAATGAAGATCGCGTCTCATCAGAGCACAGCCCTGGCAGCACGTAAGTGAGCTGACCCTGCTTCCCAGGAGTAAAGAACCAACCTACAGAGTTACCTCACACCACCCTCAGCTCTCTCTGCAAAGGGCTGTAGCCTGCATCCACGCTGTGGTGTTTTAGGCCAACAGGCTGCCAGTGAAGCAAACAGGGCCCACCACAGGCGTCAGGGTCCAGGATGTCAGGGTCCAGCTATGTGACCACCACCACACTCCCACCAGCCACTTATCTGGAACTTAAAGAGTTAGGGAGAGCAGAAGGAGGTAGTTCAATAGGACCTTTGATGACTAAAAAGAAAGACAATACCTTCTGACCCGCTTTTTAAATAAAGCATCCCCCTGGCCACAAAACTAAGCAGGATGGGGCTGGGGATTTGGCTTGGCGGTAGAATGCTTGCTTAGCAAGCTGGAAGTACTGGGTTCAGTCCTTGGCACCAAAAACAAAACATAAACCTCCACAGCACCGAAAACAAAAAACCTCCCCTAAAAAACAATTCAACCAAAAAAATACAGGAAAATCAAAAAAGACCAAAAACAAGGCAAATGAACTAAGCAGGATGAAATAAAAATATGCTTACCATATGGGTACTTGGTATCCAGTATATTCTCTGCTGTTCTTCTCCAAGGCAACAGGTCATCACTGCACCCATTTGGCATTCCATTGTACCCAATTCCAACAATCTTGTTTTCTGCATTCACAATACAGGCTCCGACCTACAAGGAAAGAGGCCCAAAGGGTTGGTGATGACTACAAATGGCTGGTCTACCCCTGGGGAGGGGAGCCCTGAAAGGAAGCAAAGCCTTTTATGGGAACAGGCAAATGTGCAGGCATATGGCACGTAAGGCAGCAAATACACGCTCCATGTTTAAGTTGACAGCTGTTCCCTTTTCGTAATTTCCTTAATTTGTGAGCATCTCTTTCCAAATATCCATTTCAGGAAATCCATTTACCTGGGAATTTGGATCTTTGCTTCTCTGTGCTGATAAGAAGGCCACTGCCATGAAATACTCAGGCCACTCCAAATAGTCATCCCGTTTCTTGCAGGAAACTTCACTCATGTTGGGTCTAGAAGCAAACACGACAAGTGAGAAAAACATTTTGGTAAATCTCCTTTCCAATTCGACCTACTGCACTGAACTCTGATCTCTAAACAGTCAACTTCAGCTACATTTATCATCAGAAATCACAAAACTTGGACCCTAGACAGTCTCTGTTCTTCAGAAAAACTTTACGATTTTAGAAGTTCACCTATGGCTTTACCTTCTCAAATATTTCGTCTATTTAGTGCTAACAGGGTGTTTCTAAAACATATGGCTAGCGTACAAATTTTTCTTTCCTTCAGTCCTTATAAATAGGAGTCCGCACAGGAAAAAAGAACAAAAAGGAAACATTTACTAATCATCTAACAGATTCCAAGCTTTTATCCTCCTCAAGCCTTATCCCAGGGAGGCAGTAACATCACACCTTACACTCACAGAGCTCAGGGAATGGAATTTGCTGTAAGTCACACAGGAACATATAACCCACGCCTGCTGGGAGTCCAAAGAGAACATATGAAGTTGTCCCAGCCAAGACAGGAATCAGCTAATCCTCCTCTCATTAAGTTCTCCAGATACAGGACAGAAGGGCAGAATCCAGGGAGAAACAATAATGAGCACCTGGTACTGAAGCCAGGTTTCTATTTTGCTCAGGGCAGGCACAGGCCTTTTCTACAACACGGAGAGCCCTGTAGGGGGCCGATTAGTCCAGCGAGAGGATCCTTTCAAAAGGCATGAAACCAGGGTAAGGAAGGAGAGCAACACAAGACCACTCAATTTCTCACATCACTAAGAAAGCCTGCTGGATATGTGGTTTAAAGGAAGGTGAGAATTCTCAAACATCCACTTCCGGGATGAGACTTTAGCCTCAGGCAGTGCGTTAAGTGTCCTAGAATGCTGTTAACTAGTTGCTACCAGGAATCGTGGTTACCAACTCACTCGTCACCCAAATTTTGACAAGTTTTGACTAAGATCACGTGTAGGTAGAGCTAAGATGCTGGTCAGAACTGGTTTCTCCCCGTTTAAGGGCTCGAAAAGGAATGAGAGGAAGGGCCTGGTAGGGAAGGACTTTTCTACCAGGCGCTCGACCGGGTCGTGGCTGAACGCGCCTCCGCGCCCGGTGCGGACGCAGGTGGGAGCTGACTCACACGACCAGCTCAGGACGACCCGCGCGGGCCGGGCAGAGCGCACGCCCCTCGCGCCCATCGCGTGGGTCCCAGCTGGGACTATTTTCAGACTTTCAGAACCGCGCCCCGCCACCTTCGCCAGGAGGACACCGCGCCGCACCGCGAGGTGCCCCCTGGCGCGGCCGCGGGGAAACTGCGCCCCGCCGATGCCCGCGTCCGCCCTTCGAGGTTTAACGTGGAGGCGGGAGGGGCTCCTTCGGGGCTCACCGCGCCCAAGCCCCCGGGAACCCGCACCGCGCACCCCAGCCCCCCCACGTGGCGCACGGGCCGCGTACCCGCTCGGCTGACCCCCGCCCATCCTCCGCGGCGCGTCCGCGGGCCTGCAGGCCGCCACTCAACCCCACGCCACCGCCGCCGCCGCCGCGCGCCCGGGCAAAGGACGTCGGGAGGGGGCGGGGCGCCGTTGGCGGGAAAGCGTGCGGGCTCGCGCTCGGGGCGGGGCGGGCGCGCGAGAGAGAGACCCGGTGGGTGGGTCAGGTGCGGGCTCCGCGCGCCTGCTGGCTGTCGGCCGGCGAGATTGAGGCCTCGGAGCTGCCGGCTGCCGGGGTGGCCGGGCCCTTCATGTGGTGTACGGCTTACGGTCGGCCTCTGACTTTTTAGGCTGCTTACGGGGTGCGTGCCCGAGGTCGCCCAGAGCCCGGCTGCCCCGGCCCGCAGCCGCCTCTGCATCTGGGCTGACTTATCCCCCAGCTGAGGACTGGGCCGTTTCTGTTGGTAATGCTGGTTTCCACACACCCGATCTTCCAGTACCTTACGTATATATTAGGGGCAGGAAGGGAAGGGACCTGCTTGGGGTCCCTGGAGCGCACCAGCTGGTGGCAGTGTCCAGCGCAGCACAGGGGCCAGGGCTGGCCCTAGGGTTTCACATTAGGAACATTTGTTTGGCGACGCCGATCTAGAGGCACAAATACCTCGAAGTTTCATTTGCATTTGCGCTTTGCTTGACCGGCTTTTAGAGTCTACTCAAATTGTGTGGAAGAGCCTGAGGTGTTTGCTAAAGCTTGCTACCCTTGGGCACCTCGCGCACACAGCCTTTGATATTCTCTTTATAAAGTTTGTCCTCTAACACTGTATAGAGGTTTGGTTTTTTTGCGATTACCTGCGCCCCAGGAAAACAAGACACAGGACAGGTAAGAAAGATGATCAGTGACCTGTGTGAGGTCATATTCTCTCTAAGAGCTAAATCTGATTTTTCATAAACTTCATTTACCCCATTCAAACATTCGGTTCCCCAAGTCTTGTGGAACACTGGTTCCAACACAAAGAATGACAAAAGAACCCCTTCCTGTTTCACATGTAGGGCTGATGATACTCCCAGCACTCCATAAATAATAGCTACTGTAACAATCATGAGTTCTGATCAGCACATCCCAGAGCTGAGCTGCTAATCCAAACAAAAGCTTGTTAACTGTATTAATTTAGCCCATCGGAGGAAGAATGATGAGAATAAACAGTTGGTTCTATCTAATTTCTCACTACAGCAGACACATCATTCTTCATTTCCATGGTCCGGCCTGTAGATTCTATAATTAAATTATGTACTGCTCAGTAGATGCCGGGAAAGCAAAAGGAAAAAGCACTGCATCGTTAACTATAGATCTCTATTTTTTTTTCCTTGATAAAATTCAGGCTTGAAAGAGCTACATAGATTAAGGTGATGATTTTTAATGTCAAATTGACTTGATTTGACTGTTGTGTTGCCATTAAAACACATGACATTTTGTGCTCCCACCCTTCCCCCACTCCTGCTTGGTTTTTGTCGCACTCATCTATAGTCTTTGGGTCTTCATAGATCCATTTCTCTTCTTACCAGCCTACAACCCAATACATCACCAATTGCTGCTGGTCCTTCAACCACAGCATCATTAAGCTTTCTTCCTTCCTCTGCTCTATAGAGTCTGTCATACATAATTTAGTTACTTCTCATCACTCTCCATTTTGGTCAACTCACACACTCGCCTTTGCAATAAATTCAAGATCCTGCTTGCTGCAAACACATTACCCTGAATGTTCCTGCATTTCACTGGAAATATCTCATCTTAAAGATGGCATTATTCACAATTCAGGAAACCTCCTGATTCATGGTTTCACAACCTGAGGTTTCAAATATTCTTCAATAAAGGTGAAACCAGGCAGCCAAGGGGGAAAGTACGTTCCTTGGTATATCTTGCTCATTAACACCTTAGTGTGACTAAAGGTGTTAATCTCTCTTGCTAATACCTTTCACTTTGGGGTATAATTGAGGATCTTCACCTACCACAGGCACAAAGATTTGCTTTTTTTTTTTTTTTCTTTTTTTGCCGTATTTAGCAAGACGAGGGTATTTCAAATAGGTTGAACACCATGTGTTTAAAGACTATTGTCATAGGCTTTGGCTTTGCTCTTCTGTTAACAGAACTACATTTATCTATGTCTCATCTATTGCATAATTTAGAATATAATTCTGTATTTTGGAGGTGTAGGACTCAGATTTAAAAAGGTAGACCTAAGGGTAAAAGAGACAATATTGGAAGGGACTTTCATGGTATCAATGGATGTCTGCCCTACCAAGATGCCATCTACAACTCCTCCCTCATCCGTTAGTCTAGAAATGGTTGTGATGTTACTGGGGACACAGAGGCAAGGAGTCTGGGAAGAGCCAACTGTGTATCAGGTTTGTTGTGGGAGAAACGACACAAGGCTTGGTGTTAGACCAAACTTTGAACTCTTAACTCCTCTGTTCTTAATACCTGTGTGGCCTACAGAAAGTATTTGCATTTAGTTTGAATTTGTCATGAGGACCAAAACCTTATATCTCAACAGTTATATATAGAAGGAAAATATCACTTTTACTATTTTTCAAAGAAATAGTTGTTTATGTTTCCATGCTACATTCCAACTGTAAATTGGAATGTAAAGCTACATTTAAACTGAAATTGTTTAAATCTTCAGTAAGGACAGATTTTATTGTCTGGTAAAACTAAAATAAATAAAGTTAATGAAAATGCAAATAAAAAGTTAAATATGTGGACTTGATACATACTGGTTTGTTTGTTTGTTTGTTTTTTGAGACAGGTTCTTGCTATGCATTTCAGGCTAGCCTAGAATTCTCTTTGTAGCCCAAGCTAGCCTCAAACTCATGGCAATCCTGCTGCTTCAGCCTCCCAAGCACTGGGATCACAGGCATGCACCACCATGCCTGGCAACATACATATAACAAACAACTTCATATATATATAT